AGACTGTATAGTTAGTAAGTGACAGAGCAGTGTAGCTATATAAACCTCCATCCACCATAAACACAACAGGAAAAGAGGGACAAAAAAACCATCCTGGGGACACAGAGGAAGGGAAACTAACCTAGATTATGATCGCAGGTAAAAGGTTCCGTTTATGAGTGGGAGTTAGCTAGGTATAATGAGGAAGGAAGGAAAGGATGAGTCAGGTAGAAGAATACAAGCAAAGGCCTGAGAGGGGAAATCTGCACATGGGCTGGGAACAAGCAATTTGGTGTTGGTAGGTCCTCAAAAAAAACGAGCCAGGAGCAGAAAGGAAAAAAACAAACAAACAGTACCAGCCATAGAGGCCCTTACAGATTTCGAAAGTGCTACCATATACCTGTTTTAATGATCCTTCAATGTCTTTAGTAAACAATCCATGTTTGCTTAGTGAGTAAGCAACCTGGGAGGCTGACAGGGCAGGTGTTAAGATCTGGTTACACACCAAGAACCAAGCAAGGCTCAAAGAAGACAAGGAACAGCCTAAAGCAGAAAGTTTCACGGGACTGGAATCCAGTTCCTGTACCTCTGCCGCCACCATCACACCGTAATGGCTGCTAACTCCTCCTGCCCAGTTGGGGCGAGGTGAAAATGTAAGCCTACAATAATGGCTCACACAGGTCTAGAAAGCGCCACAGCAATGCACCCTGAACAGGCTCTGAATGTTCAGTGGGGCCACCTGCTAGAACCAGATCTGTGCCCACATGAGGGAGAGCATCCTCCAAGTGGGGTGGCTAAGAGCAAGGGCCCAGAAGCCACACTACGACATTTTGAATCCTGGCACTGCCACTTAATAACTGTAACTTCAGGGACAACTGCTCTTAACTGGGGTGCAGTGGTTAAGTGCTTGATTACTAACCAGAAGGTCAGTGGTTCGAACCCACCAGCAGCTTCAATTAAGCAGCAGCAGTGTATTTCCACCAAGACTGTAGCTTTGGAAACCATATGAGGCAGGTCTACTCTGTTCTATAGTTACTATGGCTCAATGGCCAGTGGGTTTGTTCCCTGCTCCCCGAAGCGCCTTGTAAAATGGGGATGATAATAGCACTTAAGATTAATACTTGAAAAATACATAGAACAGTGCCTGACTACATTTTAAGTTCTTATTTCCTCTCAAATTATTCTCTAAACCACAAATTCAGCAGTCCACACCCACTAGGTGCTTCTCGGAAAACCTATACAGTGTCACTGAGTCACAACTGACTCAACAACACTTAACAACAACTCTGTTACCACGTACCTTGGTGTTTGTTCTTAGAGATATTTGTGTTTAAGAAAAAACCAAAGGGAATGGAAGCAAATGCTGCTGAATGATGATGAATGGAGGGGATTGTAATCATTGCAATCAAACGAAATATGATAGGATGAGTATAAAGCTGATGTTCTCCCAAATAAACTATCACTCAATTCACAATAAAAACTTAAAAAAGAGACTTGGGTTTTCTGATGGACATATCATAGAGTAGGTTTGCATATGATCATTCCTGTATTACTGTTGTTAAGTGCTATCGAGTCAGTTCTGACTCACAGTGATTCTGTACAAGATTTGTAAGGAGTGGCTGGTGGGGGTTTGAACAGCCAAACCTTGTTGCTAGCAGTCCAGGGTTGATCCAATAGTGCCAAACCAGAACTCCTGCTGTATCGTTAGTTCACAAAAGACCTTAAAAATTGTTTTCAATGACCTATGCTTTCAAAATGGAACTTTATACTAAGGTTAAAGTTCTAAATAGTATTTGATATATTTAAAAAGCAAGCACTGTATACTTCAGTCAACATGAGACTTCAGCAGTATTCAAACTTTCCCACCACATACCTGACAGTCATCCACATCAACTTCAAGGAACACCACATTGCCAAACTTTTCAGAGAGAGACTAGAAAATTAAATATGAGAAAACAAACAATTTAAAACTGGTTTAAGAGCAGTCAATATACTCAGGGCTTCCTAGATGTAAACTTAATAAATAAAAGTAGAAAAGGATTCAAATTCCATAAATTTAGACTAGAATCCTAGTACGTATTAATAAACACATGAGGGACCTCCAAAGAGTTGTGGAGAAATTTCATTATCTGTTCATCCCTCCATTTCCCCACAAAATTTCTGAAGCCCCCTCATACATTTTCTATCAACACAATTCTTCTGACTGTAAGATTATTTGGTATGTCAACTTTGAGGCCTACATTTCAATTAGGGTCCATGTCTCCACTTTAATAAATGCAAAAATCATTTAAGATAAACCAAACTAACTTCTGAAAGTTATGATAAATGACAGCTATGTATCACACCAAAAGTTGTTACACTACCTACTTGTTGATCAAAGCTGCAACAAGGAAAACCAACAAATAAAAGTTTATTTTCCTAGTTTTCTGATCACCAACCCCCTAATAGTTTCTTGCAAAGTAAAAGTTGTTTGATACTCACATGATAGAAAGGTTTGATCATTTTGCAAGGCCCACACCATGTGGCTGTGAAGTCAACGACTACAAGCTTATCTCCAGCACTGCTCAAAGCAGCATGAAAATCACCCTAAGGAGAGAAAAAGACTTTCGCTAAATCGGCTCATTTCCAAAAGCTTTCAAAACTTTATAGGACAGAAAGCACAACTGGAGATCCTACTTTCAGAGCCATTTTTTTTAAAGTGAAAGAAAGAAAAAAAACACACAACTAGGTTCGAATGAATCCTAAATAACTGTTGGAACTGTCATTTGATTTGATAAACGAAAGAAGATACAATACATAAATGCATCTATATATATGTCTTCAGGGATGTTTTATAAAATTGAACTAATTTGGCCAACCCATATCCAAGCTTAGCAAATGAAAGGAAAATAAAAACATATCAATAGTAAAAACGTTTCCACATTAAGCCTAGGCATCAGGTGGTGGGGGTGTTTGTTAAGTGCCGCTGAGTCAGTTCTGACTCCTATGGACCCTGTGTAGTATGTTTCCAAGGAGTAGCTGGTAGGTTTGAACTGTCAACTTAGTAGTTAGCAGTACTTAGGCACACAGTGCCACACCAGGACAGGCATATGGTAGACATCCACTAAACGCTCACTCACTGATGAAAGGGGTCCACTCCACTTGAAGAAACCACAATGGCACAGGATTTTACAACAGAAACATCTTTTTTTTAAAAAAAGCTACTACTTATCTGATTAAACTAATACTGTCTATGGAAAATTAAGAGTTTTTTAAAATTTAAATCAAGGATAGAAACCTCTTCAAATTCCAAAATTCAGATAATGCCATGTCAACGTGACATTAAGCATATTATCGTGTACTTAAAGAGGGGGAAATCCTGGGAGGGGGAGGTTTCAAGAGTTGAGCTCATACTATTTATCAATCTTAATTTCTGTTTTTTTTAATGTCAAAATTCTGCCCTCAATGTTGATTAAACGAACAATTTCACTTCTTCTTGAAGTATTCCTTCAATGTTATTTTACACAAGGAATGCATGTAAACTAAATTCTACCAGTAGAAGGATCAAGAAATCCCTCATCACCAATCTCTGTGAATTATTTACCGATGCCAGGATACTATAACCCTAGAAACCTAACCTCCTCAGTTTAAAGCAGTTAGTACTGAACAAGAAACAGGGCAACAAAGATAATCAAAACATAAACATCCATATCCAATGCTTCAGTTTTCTCTATAGTAAAAAATGGTCAAATAACCCAATTTAAAACTAACCAACCCATGCAGATAACAGTTCAACAGATGATAGCTACAATGTTTTCTTTTATAAAAATATGGTTTTGTATTGATTTGTTACCATCATCTTTTATAATCCATTATCCCATCATTGTCTAAGCCACCAAATTTTCAACCAGACAACCTGCCACTTTTATGCCTATTTACCAGGTGTTCCCTCTTCCCAGGAGGTTATTTTTGGTAAGCATGTTTTTTCCATTCCCCTGCACTCCTCACTCCCCACAACATGTTGCTTAAAAAAAATTAGCATCGCAAGCTTACAAAAATACCTTCTGCAAACAAATGTAGAAGATGCATACTACATGCATAAAAATACTGTACTAACACAGTGTCTTGATATAAAGTCATTCTAGATGGCCAAAAGCACAAACAACTTTTAGACTACCAGGAAGAAAATCTAAGGAACATTTCTTATTTATAAATAGCAATCAAATTAAGAGTTTAACTTTTCATTGGTGGTGACAGACCACAATTCTGAAAGTCAACTGACTGTCTCAGGGTCAGAGTGCTTTTGTGAATAATGAATTCCCTCACCCTTGTATACCAGACTGATATACTTCAACTATCAACAAGCAAGGATGGAAAGGTTTGCTCTGGGAATCAAAATCAATTTCTTGTTTGTAGTGTATACTGTTCTCTCTCAATGGTCTTCTGGCTTGTTAATGGATTCTTACCTGTTCGGTTCCACTGATGAGGTTACCACACCCTGATAGAAGTCTCTCACCAAAGCATAGACTAACATCTGTTACACAGTAGATGCTGAACAAAACTCACTTTTAAACACAGGAGTAGCTTACTCATTTAAATATCAAAGCCCATACAAATTTAAGAGTCACTATTAAACAAAGCTAATAAAATTAACTTTACCATTGATCTGCCCAAAATTAAAGTGAAAAAAAAAAAAAAAAAGGTCAGTGATAAGTGTGTAGAGGCGCATTCTCATACCTATACCATTTACAAACTTAAAAAAAAGATTTCCCCCCTTTGCCCAAGAATTGCACTTGAGGCTCTAATCTAAGAAAACAACCTGCTCTTTGCACAAAGTTTATTTAAAAAATTGAAAACATTAAAACTTTCTAAATGGCCACTAAAACGATTACCAAGACATTAAAAACGATTACAAAGAGCATTTAAATTATATAGAACGTATTTGAGCTAAATTGGAAAGAAAAACAAAAATCTCCAAACGAAATGAAGACGTAAAAATATCTCAAAGGCACTCACTCCCCTCCCCAATTTGTACAATGGTTATGTATTTTTTCTGGTTATAAGTTTAAAAAAAAAAAAAAAGAGAAAGGGAAAGAAATCATTACGGAAAGACCCATTTCTGACGCCCACACCAGCATCTAAAAGAAGAGTGTGGACCCCTTTCCATTTTCCCGGGCTGGGGATGGATGCATGTGAGAGGTCTTTCAGCGTTCAGGCAGCAGCAATTTCTTCCATTTACTACTTTCCTGACTCTGCATTTTACAAGCTCTCTTGTGTTGCGACAGTGTACCAGACACTGTTAAGTAACTTGAATACGGTTACAATCTTTGCTTTTGGACCTTTTTTAAAGGACAGAACCAAAATTTGGGTACTCGAAGGCCGACAAGCACATTAACCTGGCTCGGCAGGTTCCAAGTGGGAATTTTGTGGCTAATGAAACTCATGGACTGTGGGAAAATCCTAAGCGGGTAGGGCAAGGAGGCCCCCAGGCCCGGGCCTCCGGAGACTGAGTCATTCCAAAGCCAGCGCTGCCGGAAACACGCCTAGCGCCGCAGGAGGAGGAGTCCGGTGGGCGCAGCTGGGCCCTCCGTTCCCCCAGCCACCTGGGGCCCCCATCGCTCCGCCCTGGCCTAGGGGTCTGGTCCACGTGCTCTAGGGGGTTCTCCAGCCCGGATCCTCTCCCGTCGAGCAGTTACAACATGGGTCATTTTGGGGACAGGGCGGTGATGGAGGCAAGCGGAGGTGCCACCCCACTTCACGCGGGTGGATCACATCGCTTACGAAGTAGGAGTGGCAGACAGCGACTTCAAGCTTTCCCCAAGGGGTCCCTCAGCTCCTAGCCTCAGCCCGAATTCGGATGTAGATGAGTCCAAGTGCAGACCCTCTCCTCCTAATCAGGGGTGCCAGACGGGAAGGTGCAGGGAGGATTCCCCAGGCGAGCTCGGCGCGCATGCATCTCCAGGCGCATAGGGAGCGCCAGCGCTGAACACCCCGACCTCGCCCTCCAGGGGGCCCTCGTCCTTCTCCTCCCCATCTCCCGGCCGGCAAACTCGGCCACCTCCCGCGAGCCCAGGCCTGGGTTTCTCGCAGCCGCAGGCCAACACGCCACCTCCTTTCCGCAGGAATGTGGAGGGGTTGCCTCCCCATCTCTGGCCCACCGCCTAACACAACTGCGGAGGCTGCAGCGCGCCCCGGATTTCTTCAGAGACTCGTACCTTGCTTTCGATCTGCTTCACCATTTTGGCGTTGGAAAGGGGCGGAAGGGGTTATCTAAAGACCGACCGTAGAAACAGAAGAAACGGAACCGAAGCACCGGACAGAGCTTGGACCGAGAGCGCGCAGCCCGCCTTGCCTTTATAGAGCAACGGGGCGGGGCGTCGCGGCGTGCGTGTGGCGGGGACGCGCCCGTCCAGGCCGCCGGCGTCCGCCAAGGTTCCGCCAGCGAGGTCCCGCCTCTTGGGGGGGGGGGGGCGGAGCGGGGGAACACTCCCGGCGTCAGTGTACCCAGACCGTACCCAACACCCCGCCCTATCCTTAAGGGTGAGACCCTTCGATGATTGACGGGACGCATACCGTACCCAACGTGCGCGGTGGCTGGTGGGGAGCCGGATGGCCACTCCCTGACCCACTGGACTCCTCCCGGGTTACGGGTTACCTAGGAAGGGTGAGCCAGACATTAATGGAATAAAACCTCGGTCAAAAAGTAAAGTCCCCGGACCGCCCTATCAGGGTTGGATTCCTGGAAAAGGTCTCTCACACCCTCGCCTCCGCGTCGCAGGCAAACAAACCCCAAAGTGCTGAGTAACGATGACCAGGAAGTATCATCCATTGTGTACCGCCCCCCTCCCCTTTCCTCTCTGGAATTTGCTGCGTTGGTTCTCCGTTCCCTCACTTTCTGTACTTATTAATTTCACCGATGAACTGGCTAGCCGAGGGTGACGGGACAATTTAGTGCGGTAGAGACAGGTAGGGGACTGACTGAGCTAGCACACAACTGCATGCTGGATGTAAGTGTTGCTTTGGGTGGGCTCTGTCACTTGGTTACATTGGGTCACCCTGGCTATGTCCTGACCGTCCAGTGCCTCTTTTCCCTTCTATAAAATGGGAATTAATTGGAGTTTATACCTCACGGTAGTGTTTTAGGGGTTAAATAAAGTTTAAAGTGATTAGGACAGTGATTTGGTACATAGCAAGCCCTCAGATAATTCTAATTATAGCTATTGTGGGAATCCCTGGGGTGGGGGCTACTAGCCTAAAGATTTGTGGGTTCTTCCCAGAAGTGCCTCAGAAGACAGACCTGACAATTAGCTTTGGAGCGGTCATAGCCTTGAGAACCCTATTAAGTTCTGTGTTGCACACATAAGCTTGTGTAAGTTGGACTCGGCACACAACATAGCTATTGTGAGTACTAATTGGGCCTGCTTGGTATCATGGAGGGCTTGGATGAATGAGCTTGGTGACCTTGCACACAGTTTGGTTTTTCTACTAGTGGTGAAAAGTCAAAAGTTTATGTTGATTCTGGGCTACACGGTATAGGTTGCATCTGGCATTACAGTGGGTTATAAGTATGTTGCCTACAGTTGGAAGCATCTGTCAGGAGCTGAACAGGGAGAATTAATTGAGCTGGATAAAGAACTGAGACAAAGTTGAGATGGGGAACCAGAGCAGCTCTGGCTAAAGCTAGATTAAAACAATTGTCTGGGGCGGCTTCCTTTTCTCCCTGCACTTTCAAATGGAAAGGAAGGACAAAAACGTGTAGTTTTGAGCCTGCTGTGCAAAGCTTCTATAGGATTGGGAAGCAGCAAGCCATGTATAAGAACATAAACAGGGGACACATTTTAAGGATGTTATGTGCCGTGGAGTCGGTTCTGACTCATAGCAACCCTGTACAGGGTTTCCGAGGCTGTAAATCTTTACGGGAGCAGACCGTCTCATCTTTCTCCCGCGGAACCGCTGGTAGTTTCGAACTGCTGACCTTGCAGCTCACAGCCCGATTCGTAACCACTACGCTACAATAGCTCTCTATACCTATTGACCGGCGGCTGTCAATTCTGACTCCTAGGAATCCTATAGGGCAGAGTAGAACTACCCTATAGGAGTGTTAAGGTTGTAATCATTCCAGAAACAGACAGCCACATCTCTCTTGTAGAACAGCTAGTGAATTCAAAACACTGACCTTTTGGTTTGTGGACCTTTTGGTGAGCTCTGAATCATGGCATCACCAGGACTTCTTAAAGGGACAGTGTAGACAAGGGGGAATATGGTATCTCCTAAATACAGGGTCGCTATGGGTCGGACCTGACTCGATGGCACTTAACAACAACAACAACAAATACAGCAACTTTCCCCAAAAGATTAAGGACTACTGGGAAAAAGAAGGGACCTTGCAGGGTGCTGGGAGCTGCTTTTTTGCTGCTATGCCTTACACTCAACCTATATGCTGGCTTCTGGTACACTGCCATGAGTGATGACAGCAAATAATTGAGCTATAGGAAGTTGAATTGCCGGATCACCAAGGGCTGCTTGGACCGACCATGCTCAGCTGACTTCTCCTTTCCAAGGACTTTCCAAATGTCCAATGACTCAGTTGCAGGAGGTACTGACTCCCACCTGCCTCCACAGGACCAATATAGAATAGATAAGAAGGATGTTACAACTCGAGACAACAAGGAACTGGGAAGCTAAAGCATAGGTTAACAGCCCAAACTCTGCAATTAGACTAACGAGTTCTTGTCCCCGCTGTACTACTTAGTAATTAGGTAACTCTAGGCAAGTCTAAGTAGCCTTTTAGCTTCCTCATCTATAAAAGGGGCATAATAATGTCCCATACTATGATAAAAGTGGCCCAATCGTCAAGTGCTTGGCTTCTAGTTAAAAGACTTACAGTTCGAATCCACTGTAGGAACAAGACCTGGGAATTTGCTCCCATAAAGATTGTTGTTGTTAAGTGCTATCAAGTAGGTTCCAACCCATAGAAATTCTGTACAGGGTTTCCGAGGCTGTATATCTTCACAGGAGCAGAAAGCCTCATCTTTTCTCCCACAGAGCAGCTGGTAGTTTAGAACTGCTGACCTTACAGTTTGCAGCCTGATTTGTAACCACTATGCTACCAGAGCTCCTTAAGATTATAGCCTCAAAAACCCCATGGTCAGTTCTGCTCTGCCACTTGGGATTACTATGGGTTGAAATTGACTCACACCACCTAACAACAACATGCATTGATAAAGGTTGTTGTCGTTGCCAAATGTCATTGAGTTAATTCTGACCCATAGTGACCCTGTATAGGGTTTCTGAGGAGTGGCTGGTGAGTTTGAACTGCTGACCTTATATTAGCAGTCCAGTGCTTATCTTATAGCACCACATCAGGATTCCATGATACGGGTTAAAATACATGGAAAAGTGCTAAGAACTGTATTTGGTATGTTGTTAAGTTGATTTGTGCTTGTGCCATCCTCACAATTTCTCCCAGGTTTGAGTCTGTTGTTGTGGCCACTGCGACAATCCATCTTGTTGAAGGTCTTCCTCTTTTTCTTTTTAAACAGACTGACCCTCTAGTTTTCCAAGCACCATATTTCCCAGGGACTGGCCCCTCCTGATAACATGTCCGAAGTACATGAGAAGAAATCTCACCATCCTTACGTTGAAGGATCATTCTAGCTGTACCTCTTCCAACACACATTTGCTCATTCTTCTGGTTGTCCATGGTACATTTAACATCTTTGTGGTATTCTCTGCTTTCAGCCAAGGCCCATCTGATAACAGCAATAATATCCCACCTTCCAAGTTCTCTTCTGAATCTGTGAATCAGGTGTGAATTTCTGGCAGTTCCCTTCTGCAACAGTTCCTGAATTCTCTTCAGCAAAATTTTACTTGTGTATGATATTAATGATTGTTGTTATGTGTTCTTAAGTTGGTTCCAACTCATTGTGACCCTGCATAGGGTTTCTGAGGAGTGGCTGACAGGTTTGAACCACATACCTTTTGGTTCAAACTGACCTTGTGGTTCAGTGCATTATCCTGCAGCGCCACACCAGGACTCTGGATATTAATGATGTTGTTGTTGTTAAGTGCTGTCGAGTCAGTTCCGACCCATAGCGACCCTGTATAGGGTTTCTGCAGAGGGGCTGGTGTGTTAGAACCGTCGAACTTGTGGTTCAAACCGAGTTTGCAGTCCAGCACATTAACTCACAGTGCAACATCAAAACTCCATATTAATGATGTTGTTGTTGTTGTTGTTGAGTGCCCCATAACAATCCTATATAGGGTTTCCAAGGAGCAGCTGGTGAGCTTGAACCACTGACTTTGCAGTTCAAATGATTTTGCAGTCTGACGCATTAGCCCACAGTGCCATACCAGTGTTGGAGAAATTTCCACATTCTGCTGCCTCACCTTTCTTTGAAAGGAACACTAACATGGATCTCTTCCAGTCGGTTGGACAGGTAGTTGTCTTCCTGATTTCTTGGCAGACAAGTGAGCACTTTCAGTACTGCATTCATTTGTTGAAACATTTCATCTGGATTCCCATCAGTTCCTGAAGTAAGTGCTGGCTTTGCTTATAGGCTATTGACCAGAATGGTTAAATCCCTGCAAGATGGTGGCAGAGGGAGAGTGAAAGGGAGACTGTGAACCAGGTGTCCATCATTAGGTGATCAGGAAATTGGTAATGACTGGTGATTTTTTCCTTTGGGAGGAAAAAAAAAGTGGACTGGACCTCTTCTTAAGGAGCAAGGTTCTTGTGCCACAGGCACAAGGGGAACTAAATCTTCAGGATTTCATGGCATTCTGTGATGAGAGTTAGCTATGGGGGGATCTGTTTGCAGAGAATTGAGAGGAGGAGAGAGATAGTGACTGTAAGGATTGAATTGTTGTTGTTGTTGTTGTTGTTGTTGTTGTGATATGCCGTGGAGTCGGTTCTGACTCAGCGACCCTGTACAGGGTTTCCGAGGCTGTAAATCTTTACAGGAGCAGAAAGCCTCCTCTTTCTCTCGTGGAACAGCTGGTAGTTTCGAACTGCTGACCTTGAGGTTAGCAGCCCAATTTGTAACCACTACGCTACCAGAGCTCCTTAAGAGTTGAATTATGCTCCCCCAAAATACGTGTTGTAAATCCTAATCTCTATACTTATGGTGATGGAATGCTGCTGTTGCTATAGGATAAGCACTGGACTGCTAACCACATAGACTAGTGGTTCAAATCCACCAGCTGCTCTTCGGGAGAAATTTGTGGCTTTCTGAGGAAC